AGTTGTAAAAATAATGAAAATCTTTTTTTGCTGACCAAACAATATTTCTATTCGTTAGTTCTTTACAGGTCATTATCGCATGTAAAGTACATACTTCTAACTTATTTCGAATGCTGGTTTTAATTAATTTAAGAGAAGAGAATTTTCTCTCTGCCACTGCAGAACTGTGAGGCAATGACAATAAATGAAATACAAAGCCACTTAGATCTGGAAATTTTAAGTCACCCAGTCCATCTTTCAAGGAAGCGACTTTCACCCAAAATAAGTCTATATCCAAATTACTATTTAAATTGTGATTACTTAATTTAAATAAAGTCCATTGCGTAATGATTTTATCATAGTCACATTCAAATAAGTCTGCATATTCCAAAACTAAATCTAAAATATTATTGTCATTTGCTGACATCACCTCCTCAGGTGTTATTAATTTTAAAAGTTCTAAATCCTTCCTGGAGAAATCAAATCTTGATTTTATTTGATCTAAAAGCTCTGTGTAAAATGCCAGGATGTTACCTTTCACTTCATTTATTTCAGCTGTTGCCTTTTTTTAATAGAACTTCTGCTTTTGTACCAATAAATATTTTTGGTAGTTCAATATGATTACAAGTGCATTTATAGTTAATATTGACGTGAAGTTCTTTGTTCTTTGCAATAAAATTATTTAAAATTAGCAAGAAATATGATTTCATACTCGAATAGAGATATGGAAGACGACTTTTTTCTGACTGAAACTCTTTGTTCAAATTGTTAATCGACGACGCATACGAAAAAAATAGGAAATCGGATTTTGTTTTATTATCTTCCATTTTTTCAGCCAATTGGTTTGATCGAAATGCATTGACTTCTAATTTTGCATATATAAAAAAAAATGTTAAGGCGTCCCATTTCTCATTTATTCGGGAAACAATTCCCTCTAAAGACAGCCATCGTGTTTGACAAACACCTAATACTCCTGAAATTCCTTAAAGTCATGAACTCGTTTAGGGCTATGCGAAAAGAAGCTATATATATTTCGACATAACCAATTGACATCTTCGGGTATTTTTTTAGTGGCATAACTCACACACAAATGCAAAGAATGGCAAGTAAATTTCAAATAAAAAATATTTGTTTCTGACTCCAGTAACGCTTTTACGCCAGATAAATGGCCAGCCATGATACTTGCACCATCTGTTACCATACCTATAATATTTTTTAGCGGAATATTGTTGTCTAACAAAAACTTTTTTACAGCTCCAAATACTGAAGCTGAATCACACTTTGGTAGCTCAATAAGTGCTAAAAATCGATCCTTTGCAATAAAGTTCATAACGTATCTCACGACCATTACCAGACATTTTTTAATTGAGATATCCGTGGTTTCGTCAATGATTATTGAAAACTTACAGTTCTTTAACGTTGAAACAAGCTCGGATGCTGTTTTGCCAGCAATTTCCTCGGTTATGTTTGTTGCTTTAGTTCTGCCAATTTGCAAACGTTTGGCCACTTCAGAGTCCGGGCAACATTCAGCTAACAGAGCAGATAAAACATCCATTAATAAAAATTGCAAGTTGTGCGTTATAAGAAAAATGACGAGCGTAAATTCTGCATATTGAACCTTTTTGCTCATCTGCTCTTTTTCGGTATCCAAAAATGTCTCCTCCGACAATTGACTCTTTTTGGCTTTCATATTTTGTACATGAGAAGAACTACTGGCGTGTCTGTTAAGATGTGACAATATATTTAAAGAGTTCTTGTTGCACATTTTGCAAAAAGCGAGACCATTTCTGCTTTACAGCCACGGGAACTTTTTCAGCCACTCAGTTCTGAACTTTCTCGTTCTTTTGTTCTTTTTACTAAATAAACAAAACATTTTTAATAAAATTCTGGGATTGACAAAATTCTAAACACATACGGCTCATTGTTATTTCCTTGTTCTTCTTCTTCAGTAAAGTTTTCTTCATTTTCCTTTTGTTTATCAATCCGTGACTTTTTTACTATAAATCTGAAATATAACATTTTTAATTATTCCTTCTTATAATTATTAACATTAAAATTAGCTTACCAATCCATCATCAACGTATCAGCAGCCAAGAAACACTCATAGCAAACTTCATCAAGCCACCATTTACATGTAAACACTTTGACATAGGGTTGGCAAACCATCGATGGCACTATCAACCCTTCTTTTACATTTGTGGCATTTACACCTACCATACATACATGTATATACAATGCAATTAAGGTATGATCACAATGTAATCGTGATATTTTCTTGTGGTATTGAGCAGTATGATGCGATAATTTAACAAAGAAGAAAGAAAAACTTAATTCAATTTGAAAATTTTAAGAAATAGTAGCCATTTAGGAAGCAGTGTAGATTTGTAGCCTTATATTTCAAATGTAGTCACTATGGCAACACTGACGTATACATGTGATCATACAACTCCGTTGCACTCATTCAGCAGTGTCATATAAAAAAGTATATCTGTCCTGCACTAATATCCCCAATCGACGGCTGATGCATCGTTGAATTTTTAATTCCTAGTGTAAAAATTTCTTAAAATTTCAAAGAAAACTTTTTAATTTTAAAATTATA